TTATTCTCCAAAGCCCTCGATCATCATCAAGGGAGCACATTTTTCAACCAAGGAATTACAGAGGAGGAGAATTAGATTTTATTAAATATTCCAATTGTGGTGAGCAAACTCTTCACAAATAGCTCTTGGAATAGATTTAATAAGAAAGGAAGGTCAATATTTGTATCCTTACAGCCAACATTGTGAAATATTTCGACGACTTTTGTGCCTTGATAGTATTTCATTAGTATCCTTAAAGTCAGTTGCTGATCACCTTTTAGTTAGTTAATTATCTGATATCTCATATTTGTTAAACTTCCAACACGCTAGCAGATTTAAATGTTCCCCTTTAGTATGTAACCTTATAACAGCCACATAAAAAGTAACTTGTAAATTAATGCAGAGTTAATAACATGATTATCAACCTGCCACTTATATAGCAGAAGTTACAAGTTGTAGCAATATGGCTTCCAGCATCTTTTTTAGGGTGACTATCAATGTCTAGTTAAGTAACTCTGTGAAGAATGTCTTTATAACGCCGAAACCGGTTTGGCTCAGTGGATAGAGCATCGGGCTGCGGACTGAGAGGTCCCGGGTTCGATTCCGGTCAAGGGCATGTACCTGGGTTGCGGGCCCCATCCCCGGTGGGGGATGTGCAAGGGGCAGCTGATCGATGTTTCTCTCTCATCGATGTTTCTAACTCTATCTCTCTCCCTTCCTCTCTGTGAAAAATCAATAAAATATATTAAAAAAAAAGAATGTCTTTATGAAAAGATATGCTGTTTTTAGGCATAATGGGGAAAATATTCAGTTAAGTGTGTTCAAATAAATTAAATCCACAATATTAATTTTCACGATAGAACAATTTCTTCAAATGAATTCGCCAGCAGGAAGCCCAGAAGTGAAAAATGTAACTGTTGTTATTCTGGATTAGCAATAATGCAGAGAAGACTCGCATATGTTGAACTTTTAGAGACAAACTTCACGAGGAACGCTTCATAATTGGAGTTCAAAACTTTCCGAAGAAAAATTTCATAGGCAAGGTGTAAAACCTCTGGTTGCCAAATGAAGATCCTGGCCCTCACCACAGTGCCAGGGGCACATCTGGGGCAAGCGTCCTACCTGGGCTGATGCAAATCTTACCAATCTCAGGAGAAAACATTGGCCATCCTCTCTTTAGAGCTGGGTGTCCGCAGTAGGAGGCGTGCAGGAGGCAACCAATCAATGATTCCCTCTCATTATTGATGTTTCCATCTTTTTCTCTCTCCCTCTGTCTTCCTCTCTCTGAAATCAATAAAACATATTTAAAAAACAATAATCGGCCTTAACCGGTTTGGCTCAGTGGATATAGAGCGTCGGCCTGCAGACTCAAGGGTCCCAGGTTCGATTCTGGCCAAGGGCATGTACCTTGGTTGCGGGCACATCCCCAGTAGGGAGTGTGCAAGAGGCAGCTGATCGATGTTTCTCTCTCATTGATGTTTCTGACTCTCTATCCCTCTCCCTTCCTCTCTATAAAAAAATCAATAAAATATATTAAAAAAACACACAAAAAAACAATAATCTGATAGATCTCTCAATCTCAGACTTTATTGCAGCTACAAAATAAATATATTAAATGGCTTACCATGCCTTATAAAAATGCATTCCATTACGTTTGCTCATTACTCAAAAGTAATATTTTAGATTCAAATGCAAATCGAGCCCTTAGGTTAAGACTTACAGACTAATACGGTCTGATCTAATCTACCGAAAATCTTGGACACATCATTGCACATCATTTCATTCATAAGTTAAAATTCAAATCAGAAACTCTTTCAAAGCCACTTTTAAAGCCATAATTGAAAAGTACTACACAATGTAAGAAATCTATTAGAAGCAAGACAGTGGTTACAAAGCAAAGGTCGTATAAACATATTCATCTCAACAGTTCACATTTAACCATTCCATAGGTTACATATTTTTCCTGCCAATGACATGCCAATATTTGGCTCTGTGCAATGTTCTAAAGTGCATAACAAACTAGACAGAGTATATATAAATATTACACGCAAAGATAAATGGACCTATTGATTTATAATAAAAATTATATAAACGTATACTTTTCCTGAAACCTACTGACCCCAAGAAGTCTGACACCAGGGTCATAAAAGGGAGGAAATGAAAGAATTTCAGTCCCCGATGTATTAGTGAGAGAGAAAAAGGAAAGAAAAAAAAAAAGAAGCCCTCCAACTGAATATTGGATTATTGCAGGCCATCCTCATAAGCAAAATATTTCCCCTCAATTACGCCTAATGATTTAACTGTTTACACTCACTAATGAAATGAAACAACACAGAACAAACAACTGCAAGGGGCTGTTTTTCCGCCAGTGCATCGTCATCTATCAACACGTACGGGAAGATTCTTAAAATTCTGTGAAGCTGGCCTGTTGCAACCGAGAGGCGTATTTTATCGCAATCGGGGCATAGAAGTAAAATCGCCCCTAGCCGAGGCGTGTGGCTCCACGTACAGCGCAGCCGTAATGAGGCCCACACGCCGGCCGGGCGCATCAATTACCATCATCATAATCACGGTCGTTAGGCTGCACGCTCATTACGACCGGGGTCCCGGTGACAGCGGATTCAATCACCGGGTGCGACGGGCAAGCAGCCCCGGTCCCACCCAAGTTTCTGCAGACGGCGATGTGCCACATTAAACCTCTGATACGTTCCACATCCCCCTCCATTCCCGGAGCCCTCGGCGGCAGAGGTCAGCTTTATGTTCTGTGCAATATGCTTAGGCCTCTAAATTAATCCTCTGGAGTGCTGGATGTTTCTATGCTTTGGAGCTTCTAGGTTCTTGTTTAGGACCAAAATGCACGTGAACAAAACAAAACACACAAAAAAGAAGGCTGCTCTGCAGGTGTCACTCACCAACAATAAAGCAGGTCGACATCAGTCTCTTCCCGAGTTTTGCCAACAAAGGAAAACATGAACAGTCCCACTAAAGTCAGTTGTCTAAAGTGAACATAAAAACTAATTCCAATTAAGATAAGAGGGGCCTGGCCCTAGCCGGTTTGGCTCAGTGGATAGAGCGTCGGCCTGCGGGCTGGGGGGTCCCGGGTTCAATTCCGGCCAAGGGCACATGCCCGGGTTGCAGCTCGATCCCCACTAGGGGGCGTGCAGGAGGCAGCCAATCAATGATTCTCATCATTGATGTTTCTCTCTCTCCCTCTCCCTTTCTCTCTGAAATCAATAAAGAAATCTATTTAAAAATATATAAAAAACATGTTTAAAAAAAAGGTAGAGGGGCCTAGGTCATCATGTCTGCATTGGTTAACACAAACATATGTAAATGTTTTTACAATCAAAAGGATGTTTTTAGTATACGGAGCTTTTAATTGTCCAACACTTTTAGATCTACCCAAATAGATTAAATTAATAGCGACTGGTACATTCCCCTTATTAAGTTTCACTTCAATTTCAGATATTGAAACGAGCACAATGAAGAATTTATAAATACAAAGTAGATACCAGCACTTAAAAAGTTTGGCCACTTAACACACAAGTTAACTCCGGGCATTTTACAAGTACATCAAAGAAATATGATTAAGTTATATATCATTTGTACTTTATTTTTTAATAATTGATGTCTATACTTTCAAGAAGAATGATATATATGTTATTTTTCATTATTATCATACTTTCAGTAGAAAATAGCATTATTTGCTCTTAACTCCCTGACTTTGTGATATCTTTGTATAGTGTTATTCATATTACTAAATTAAAAATAAAGCAAAAATATTTGACATATTCATCAATCTTGTGTGATGTAATTCGAGAAAGATTAACATTTGCTTTTCTCTCAACTGACACCCTTCAAAACAACTGTGTGACAGATTATTTGAAAATTATAATCTCTCTGCTTAAAGATGGTAGAAGAGAAAGACAGTTCTCTGTGTAGACAATCTTCAACCATGATGGAAAGGGTGAAGAACAGGAACCAAAAATACTTGAGCTGTTACTTGGCTGAAAGCAATCTATTGTGCTCAATTACATCATAAGTGCATTTACAAGTTTTTAATAGTCCGTCTTCCCCCAGCAGAAGCCTAAAACCACTCCAGCCTTTTCCTTCTTCAACATTCTGAACGTCACAACTCCAACCTCCCTAAAACTGTCTTTAATCAACTAAAAATAAGTAAATTGTGGCCTCCAATTTCTGAGATCAAGAAACAAAGTTTTATTTAAAAAAAAGAAAAAGAAGCCTGATTTTAGCAGTTTATGGGGTACAACAAGTCTCACCCAAATCACTTAATATCAAATTGAAATAAAAAATATTTTTAATAATTCTAAGGTTTACATATCAATAATAGAATGACTACTTCGGTATTGTGCAGGTTATACTGCTACAGAGAGGGATGACTTGTTTATTTAATACCGTTATTTGAAGAGATTAGAAGGAAGGTGGGACGAAGTAGGAAAGGAAGGGAGAAAATGAAAGGAGGGGAGGAGAGAAAGAGAAATTTAAATTTGCATTTAATGTTTTTCTACGTGGTTTTGTGTAGGGTTAAGTGGACTAATGATTTATTAAAATTTAAAGAATTCCTATACATTTCTTGCTTAATTTTCAGGGTCTACAAGAACAATTACTCATCACTAATTCTTTAACTATATGTACATTCTAAAAGTACAGAAGGGTACACAATGACTCCTAAACAACAACAACACCCAAATAAACTATTTTTCTTTTTAATGAGTATCCAAAAATCTCTACATCTCCATAAACTGCTTACTTAAGTGAGATACAGGCGTATTCTTGGAATATGTCAGGATGCATGGAGTGAATCTGTTGTAGAAAGCCAACAAGTACCATATTCTTTTAGGAAGAGACATTTGCATAAGGATCTTTGTTTTTCTGAAGTAGCTTCATATCCAATGGTGAGTCGTTTGTATTTTAGAAGGTATTAATTGTAATTCATATTTGTTGTCTCTTTTAGCCTTTTCAAGGGGACACTATTTTTTTTTAATGTTGCGTCAACTCACCTTGCCACCGATCCACTTGTTGGGGCTTTCATCTCTGAAACGGTGATATCCATAAGCGCCAGGACCATACTTGGTTGATGAATGCATTGATGGAACGTACCTTTCATTCTTATGGTAGGAAGAGAATGGCAAAAACCTGAAAGAACAGTAAGGTGTTATTCTTCATTGGATTTCTAGAGGCGTTTGATTAAAAAAATAAAAATTCAGCCTGGCTGGTGTGGCTCCGTGGTTGAGCATCAACCCATGAACCAGAAGGTCACAGGTTCTATTCCCAGTCAGGGGACACGCCTGGGTTATGGACTCGATCCCCAATGGGAGCATGCAGTGGTTTATACAAACACGTCATTACTTGAATGTCTGGGCAGTTGAAGAACAACTGGTAGAGGTCTCAGAAAGCACAATTTAAAAACAGCCAATTAGCTTCAGGGAAAAATGGGACCATTGCAAATCTATAGTCTTGATGCACTGAGAATTAACATACTTCCTATTTTTTCCCAAATAAGAAAAATTACACTTACCATTTTTTTTCTGATAACTCTCTTTTATTTCCCCCCATTTTTATAGGCACTTATAATTCTAGATTCTCCTCCAACCCATCTATTTCACTGGCAGATAATTCAAACCGACAAATTATGAACCCCAGTTGCCTGTTGGGTCAAGCCTACATTCTTCAGCCCGGCTGTCAGGCCACCCAGCATGCACTGGGTCGGTCTGCCCTCCTACCACTCCTGCTCTGTCCTAGTTTTATGACGTGTTGGTCTGCATACACTAAAATCGTATGTAATATTCTCAGGAAGTATTCCAAATTGTCCATTATGTCGATGTTATACATCTTAAAGTCTTTAGACTTAGAGGTCTGTAATAACAAAATCCCACTATTCTGTGGTCATTTATTGAAGACAAAAAACATTCTATTTTCAAGTCAACACGGGACAACGAGAGAGCAATCGTCACCGTACAGCTAAGAAAAGGATCTTTTGTAGACAGATTCTAGAACTTCTTAATGATACACAAGCTTATTATCTGTATCCCCAGTGTTCTAAAGCACCAGACTTCATTAGGAAAAAAAAAATTAAGCTGGAGAAATGGAGGCAGCTCTTTGCAAATTTCCGCTGGAAATGGGCTGGGAAAGGCAGAAGTCTGGATCAAAAGAGGGTAATCATGCTAACTGTGCCCCGAGCACTGCGTGGGTGATACGATTTGCACACTAACTACCTCTCTCATTACTGCTTGTTTGGAGTGTTCTGTGTTAATGGGGTTAGCTAATCTAGTATTTTAACTTAAAAAGGCTCCGCTGATTAATAAATGTTGCACACTGTGCTAGTAATTAAAACAAATGGGAGAGTTACAAATAAAAGTTGAATTGTTAAGAAAACACTCTCTGAAAACATATGATAATGCCTATTTACCATAATACAATAACCGTTCAGAAAGCATGCAGATTGCAGAGGGCTAAAGTGTTTGAAGAATCACATAAGTAAAAAAAAGTTTGGAGGCGTGTTGAACTTCCTTATCACTGTTCTTTGGTAATAAGCAGAACCAGGTCTCGTTTCTATACACTACATTTAAAAAGCATTTTTTTTTCTGTTTATCCTCAATTGAGGATAATTTTCCATTGATTTTTAGAGAGAACGGAAGGGAGAGAGAGAGAAAGAGAGAGAAACCCTGATGTGAGAGACACATATAGACTGGTTGCCTCTGACTGGCGTTGGGGATCGAACCTGAAACTCAGGTATGTGCCCTTGACCAGACGGAATCAAACTTGAGACCAGAAGGGCTATATTTTAAATTGTGTTCTTTAATTAAAATTCTAAATATTTTGCTTAATAACTATGATACCGTAGCAACCAGTTAATCACACAAATGCATAGCCACATGCAGAAGCTGCAACCGTGAATTGGAGAGATATTTAAAAGGCAGAAAGGAGAATCTGAGGACCAATATGACGCTGGAGAAGGAGAACAGAGAAACTCACGTATCCCTACCCTGGGTAGCGTGTTGGGCCTGCAATTCACACTCAAAACAAGAAGCAGGCCCTGGCCGGTTTGGCTCAGTGGATAGAGCGCCGGCCTGCGGAATGAAGGGTCCTGGGTTCGATTCCGGCCAAGGGCACATGTCCGGGTTGCATGCTCGATCCCCAGTAAGGGGCGTGCAGGAGGCAACCAATCAATGATTCTCTCTCATTGTGGATGTTTCTATCTCTCCTTCTCTGAAATCAATAAAAAATATATTTATGGATGTTTCTATCTCTCCTCTCTGAAATCAACAAAAAATATATTTAAAAAGAATGAGAAGAAGAAGAAAAAGAAGGAGGAGGAGGCTAGTGTGGGACATTCTGAGTCTGGGACACACAGTGGAGATGCAAACAAAGATGACCTTTGGAAATATAAATCTGGGATGTTGCAGTAAGAACTTAGAGCTCTAGGGAGGGGAAGCCATTGGCATAGAGTTGGTAGTTGGTGTCTTTTCAACAGAAGCAATCAGAGAGATTAAGGAAGGAAAGAAGAAAGGAAAGAAAGAGAAAGAACAAGAGTGGAATACTGAATCCTGCCATCAGCTTAGTTCCATCCCACTACCTGTCACCAAAATGATTGCAATATTCTCCTACTGGGTTTCCTTTCTTCCAGCGTATTTCTTCTTAAGGACATCTATCTCACAATCAACAAATTCATATTCTTTTTACAGCATCCTCTTACTCAAAAGCCTTAAATAAATCTCCATTATCTACCGATAAACCCTCAGGTCCTCGGCCACTGCCTCTCATGTAAAAATTAGTTTCTGTCAAACTGGTCCTGTTGTTCTGTGAACTTTTCCTGCCAACATGTTTTTTTAGTTTTTAAACGAACCACCTGCTTTTATCTTTTCTTTTCTCTACCAAAATCCAGATCGCCCCAAACCAGAGCAAACTCTACATTAAAAAATAAAAGTCATGGCACTGATGGTCTTTGACACACGCTTGACCGTTTTTCTGGAGCTCTCCTATGACAACGCTTGCTCAGAATTGCATTAGGTTTCCTGGTTCGGTTCAAGCTAGAAGCACAGACATCCATGAGAATAGAACCTCTGTTTGCCTTGGTGCTACGTCCCGGAGCCTAGGACTATCTCTGACATGCACACAGTTGCTGGATCAGTAAATGCCAGTGTTGCCCAGCCACTGTGGCTCAGTGGTTGAGCGTCAACCCATGAGCCAGGAGGTCACGGTTCCATTCCTGGTCAGGGCACATGCTTGGGTTGAGGGCTCGATCCCCAGAAGGGGGCGTGCAGGAGGCAGCTGATCAATGACTCTCTCTCATCATTGATGTTTCTATCTCTCTCTCCCTCTCCCTTCCTCTCTCAGAAATAAATAAAAACTTATTTAATAAATGCCAGGGCTTCTCATAAAAGTTACTTGTCAGTTATTTACTAATTGCTGATGTAATATCCTGGCTTTATGAACGCAGGCCTAGAAATGAGGAAAACCATTTCTTCAAGAGACAAGAGAAAGTGGGATGAGCTTCTTCAGGATCAAGAACAAACAAACAAAGCTTTGAAGCGACTTCTCAAAGAAATCCTCTGCGATCCACTCTCTGTGTCAAATAGTACCATCCCCTCTTCCTACGCTTATCTTGAAGAACATGTTGAAGACTGTGACCTCATTTGGAAATACGGTCATTGCAGAAATAATAAGTTGAGATGAGGGTAGGGTGGGCCCCTGATCCAATTCGACAATTGATTACACATAGGCAGTCAACATCCTCATCAATACTGTCCTATCGAAAACATTTGCACGTCGTCGAAAATGGTTGCTGTGAGAGAGGTCACGGGGACCTGACCTGTTCTCACAAATAAAAGATTCTCTGCAATATCAGAAATGGGAAATGGTGGATACCTTCAGGCCCCAAACACGGGATAGCTGCTTTTTTTAAGCTAAGGACTCACATGTTCTCCTGAACGTTCCTTGACAATTCCAATCTTCTGAATTCACTTCTGGCTTCTTTTAACGTATCGATTGGCTCCGCCACCCGCAACGTTGGCTCCAAGGGCTTGTAGCGCTGCTTCAATACGTCACTGACGTCACGAAAGGGCCCCTGGCAAGACAGGATGTTTCATTACGGAGGATTCCTTTACCGTGTTATTGATGATCGAGGCTACCGAATGCCTACAAAGCACAGCAAGTTTAGCAAATCAATTTTTTAAAATAGATTTTTATTGATTTCAGAGAGGAAGGGAGAGAAAGACAGCAACATCAATGATGAGAGAGAATTGTGGATGGGCTGCCTCCTGCACGCCCCACACTGGGGGCCGAGCCCACAACCCGGCATGTGCCCTGACCGGGAATCGAACTGAGACCTCCTGGTTCATAGGTTGACGCTCAACCACTGAGCCACGCCGGCCGGGCCTAAGTTACAACTCGTTATTCTCTGAATTAAAAAATACATGACACAATATTGCATCTTCAAGAAATGTCCACACTAGTACAAGTGATGATATTGAAAATGCGTTACATTAATTTTCTGCGCATCAAAAGAGTTTTTATGCTAAAACTGGTAAATCTATAGTTATAGTTGCTCTACTTTCAAATTTTAAAAACCATGTTTCGTTGAACATAATTTGAAAAGAATCCTTTCCCTTTTTGAGTAAAAATAGTAGAAACAATTCTGAGCTTAGCTTTCAAAGAACACTGCTACCAATAGAAAAAGGATACAATTGTTTTTTCACTAAAATAAGGCTTTTAGGTGAATGTCAAATCTTCTATTTTATTCTTTCTTGTGTTCTTTATTTAAAATTCTTTGACACAATAGCAACCATGCAATCACACAAATGCACAGCCCAGTCCAGAAGCCACAGCTGGAAAAAGTGATTCACCACATATCCTGCCTTTAAATTAGTAGATACTTATATACCAGTTATGGGAATCCACTGGTTGTCTGATGAATTAGCATCACATAATGCACAGTACAAGTCAGAGGTGGCTCGGGATTTTGCTGTGGCATTAAGTACATATTGTTTTCTCTTTTTGTCACCCTTGTGCAGGAGAGAAGTGATGGAAAGGGGACCAAGATTTCTAGTCCGATCCCTTATCCTTCCTTAACTAGGTTATCCCTAACGGGCCACAGCTGGAGTTCCTGCCGGCGCTGAGGGAAGACAGTGGGCTAATAAAAAGAAATGATTCACGCCTCATTTCTGTTCACTTATGTTTTACATTAATAGAAACCAATAATAGGAACCAGTTACCATAAAAGTCATGGACCGTAAATAACACAAATGGCAAATAAGTATCATCTAGTACTTTTCACAGCTGGACAGGAGGATTGCTATATTGGAAAGGAGTTAATGAATTTTTATTGGAACTTTATTTTTTAAAGATACAGTAACATGATTCCAAGTTCACTATTAATATATATACATATGTACATATGTGTGTGTATACATATATATATATATACACACACCATATAATATATATAACATATACATCCCCATTTGATATATATGTTTATATATATCTTTTATTATGAACTTTAATTTATTATATATAACTAGAGGCCCAATGCATGAAATTCATGCAAAAGTAGGCCTTCCTTCTCCCAGCTGCCATCACCGGCTTCCCCCTGGCAACCGGAACCTGGGCTTCTCTCTGGCCCCTGGCAGGCATGCAGGACCTCGGCTTCCCTTGCAGCCCCAGCTTCGTCCGAAAGGTCCTTCGGAAGGACTTCTGGTTTAGTTAGCATATTACGCTTTTATTATTATAGATTACTAATATATTTATGTACCTTTATATATTTTATTTACTATATATTTGATGTATATATATTTTTTAATATATTTTTATTGATTTCAGAGAGGAAGGAAGAGCGAGAGAGAGATAGAAACATCAATGATGAGAGAGAATCATTGATTGGCTGCCTCCTGCACACCCACGACTGGGGATCGAGCCCATAACCCAGGCATGTGCCCTGACCGGGAATCGAACCACGGCCTCCTGATTCATAGGTCAACGCTCAACCACTGAACCACCTGGCTGGGCTGGAGTAATTTTTTATACAGAGAGAGGTAAACAGAGGCACGCCTGCGCACAGAACCCATAGGCAGGAGCTCTGGGAGCTTGGTGTGTGAACCAAAATAAACCCAGTTCTGGGCTGATGCTGCCTGGTGGCGGCAGTATTCCCAGTTTAAGTGTTGGTGGGGATGACAGAACCATTGCTCTCTGGGATGTTCAGGACGGTCACCCAACACATCCCACTCCACGCTTTACCTCTATCCCAGGCCACAGTGACTCTACTGGAGTCTTGCACTGTTTCGGGCCCTCTCTCATTCCCCAACTCATATACTAGTACTCTTAAAAGTATTCAAATCTAAATTATGTTTACAGTTATATGTAAAGATTATATGTAAAGGTATGGGTCATCAAAGGACAGGTTAAATTAAATATATTTGATAACACATATGACCTTTCTAGCAACAACAGGTTATAATGAATACTATTTATAACAATATTTTCAGTCTGGCTGGCATGGCTCAGTGGTTGAGCATCTACCTATAAACCCGGAGGTCACAGTTCGATTCCTGGTCAAGGCACATGCCTGGGTTGCTGGCTCAGTCCCCAGTAAGGGGGTGCAGGAGGCAGCCAATCAATGATTCTCATCATTGATGTTTCTCTCTCCCTCTCTGAAATCAATAAAAAAAAACATTTTTAAAAAAGCAAAAAAAACAATATTTTCACACAAAAGGCTAGATCTTCACCAAAAATCCTCTGTGTTAACTTCCCATTCAAAACATTACACAGTTCAATACCAGAGAAATCTTTGATTGCTTCCTTGGTATATGTTTTAAACATACTTTAGATTTCTTAACGTTAGGTCCTATAAAAAAAAATAATTCTTTTTTATGGTCAAAAAGACAACACAACAGTCACTTTTTAACAAACCAGCAAAGCACACGATCGTGGGAAGGATTCTCACAGGGGGCCCAGGAGTACCTGGCACTGCTTCCGGTCGATGGGCGGCAGGGTGTGGGAGCGAGGGAAGGACCGGGTGCTGGTGCAGGCCAGCCAGCTGCTGAGGCTGTGGGGCCGCTTCTGCTTGGCTTTGTGTCTCTGAGGCGTTAAAGGCTTTGCCTTCTGCAGCCGTAGTTCCCGCGGGTCGGGATCCTTTCTGAATGGCGAGTTGTATACGCCTGGGATCTAGGAAAGCAGACAGAAGTTTGATTTGGGTCTTTAATTTTCACGGGAAGTAAAAGGAAGATCAAGTTGCACTGTCACATTTTTCACACATGTAAGGACTATATGAAACGACTTCCGGAGGCGAATTTCAGATTTACCAGGGAAGATCAAAAAAAACCCACGCTCCGTCCCCACGCCAGACCGGCCAGCCTTTTAGAATCGTGCGATTCTGAAGACAAAATATGCAAAAAACCACTGAGCTATGGTTTCGACCTGTCACACAAGGTACATTTTATATCATTGTATTTATGAAAAAAAAATAACAGAAGCACCTTAAGTCATTCTTTTTGTATCTAACCATTACCTAACTATGAGTGTGTATATGGACCCATATCTATAGCCACACATTCACTCAGACAAACCCAAATACACAAGGCTTGCGCCAGTTTCAGGTACAAAGTATGTACTCAAGCCTAACTGGTTTGGCTCAGTGGATAGAGCGTCGGCCTGCGGACCAAAGGGTCCCAGGTTCAATTCCAGTCAAGGGCATGTACCTTGGTTGCGGGCTCCTCCCCAGCCTGGGCCCTGGTCAGGGCTCGTGCAGGAGGCAACCATATCGATGTGTTTCTCTCACATCAATGTTTCTCTCTGTCTTCCCCTTTCTCTTCCACTCTCCCTAAAAATCAGTGGAAAAAATATCCTCGGGCGAGGATTGACAACAACAAAAATAATAATGACAAAGTATGTACGCAGTAAACATTTGACTGTTTGAATGATGATTCGTTACATAATGGCAGTTATTTTAAGTTCTTTAAAATAACCCAAGTGGATATATATATATATATATATATATATATATATATATATATATATATTTACAGTGGATATATATATAATAATCACTATATATATGTAGATATATTATATATAGAATCAAAGTGGATAAAATAATAATAAAGTGGATGTACAGGTGAATATGTATATAATACATTCAAAATAACATCCTCTATTTTGAATTCATGTGGTTCGGAGCTCTACTTCCGTAATGTCACAGTACCCTTGCTATTCATCAATGACCTTGTCACACTGTGTCAAAAGAGTCAGGGCTTTCTTAGCACAGCACCTGCTATGCAACAGAGGGTCAGCAGATGTATGGATGACAAGTGTTCAATGCGAGTTTAGCAGATGCCCATTCTTCTGGAAATTCAATGGTGTTTGAGTTCAGAACCGTACTTGGATACCTTTTCATATACGCGCATGCATATTCATAAGGACAAGTCACACTTTAGAGGACAGTGTGACTGGCTTGTTGGCTCTGTGTGCGCTCCAGGTTAACGTAAAACATGGATCCATTGACCCTCTCTCTCTTTTCCCTGAAAATGTGCTTTTCTCTCATATCCATAAATATTTCTGGTTGCTATATTTCCCTCATGGAATCAGCAGTTCCAAGGTATTAGGATTAGTTAGGGTAGTTGTCTTTGAAGACCTAGCCTTGAAAACGTTCTACTTTCAGCCCAACACTCAAATCAGTGTTAACCTGCATCTAATACCACCGGCTCCGGCTGGATTCCGTGGCCTGTCCCAGGGTTACCTTTCTGTGTGTCCATCTTCCCCAGGCCAGCAGCTGGCGTGCCGGGACTCTGTGCTGGGTATTTTTGCATCCCCAGAGCATAGCAGAGTGCTTGTCTCATAGTAGACACTAAAAATGAGGCTGGCCTGGCTGACGTGGCTCAGTGATTGAGACACAACCTATGAACCAGGAGGTCACAGTTTGATTCTGATTCCTGGTCAGGGCACATGCCAGGATTGTGGGCTTGAGCCTCAGTAGGGGGTGTGCAGGAGGCAGCTGATCCATGATTCTCTCTCATCATTGATGTCTTTCTCTCTCTCTCCCTCTCCCTTCCTCTCTGAAATCAATAAAAATATACTTTAAGATGAGGCTAGATGCCTCTCCGGAATAACAATGCATCACGCAGACATGCCCACGAGGCCTCTGCCTCACTACTGTTTTCCAAAGCCACATTCTTAGTAAAATATTTAAGGTTTATTTCAACATCCTATCAACTTCTTTCTAAGAAGTTATAGACTATAACCTTTTCATCTTTCAATTAGTTGTCGAGCGCATTGCGATCTAGAAATTAGAACTAACTCGAATCACCTCCCACTCAACTTTTCCTATGTTATAATCCGGGACTGAATCTTACCAGATAAAACCAACTTAATGTAAATATATTTAAATATTTTTAAAATGTTTTGAACCAGCTCTTCTTTGCGACTCCCCCCACCCCCCATACAATTTATTTGTTTAAGAAAGAACAGTGTTGAAAATGTCACAGGCAACTGTATACACCAGTTAACATTTGCTCCCTATAACACTGACTATAGAACAAGGTGGATACGTAAACAGATAGTGAAATGATCTTAATAAAAGAAAATAGGTATACATATATATTCAAAATAGCTTTCAGTGGACAGTAACTTTTAAGTGGATGGTAATTTTTAACATCTTTTCGGGGTGATTTTCTACCATGAGAATGTATCAATTGTAATGAGAAAGAAAACAATAAGTGTTACATTAAAAAGACGACTCTGACATACAATAGAATTCAACCTACGTAAGTCTATGACAGAGACAGAAGAAAATGCCATTCTGTTCCATGATAATCTAATTAAAGGAAGTCTGTTAGTATATCATTTCCAGATGATAATTTATGCTTTACAATGTCTGTCTACCTGGGTAACTGCCGCCAGCTATTCACGTCACCCCCATTAGAAATCTCCTCTGATCCCCCACCCCCAAATTTGCATGCCCATGTACACAGGGGCTCGATGGGAAATGCAAATGGACCGCAGGCCTGATAGCTTCCTGAAAAGGTACTCGGCAACCTCCATGGAGCCCTCCTACTGTGGGTTCTCCTTGAAATTTAAATCAAATATAGATAGAAAATACAGTTTAATTGAATTGAAAATGTCTCATTTAAAATCTCCCGGCTGTCGATATTTTAGAAATTAAGTTAATGCATTTGCTAAGGCCATCAATGGACACCGTCCGGCCCTCCCGCAATCCCTACAGCAAATACCCTACTCGGTGAGCTTGAGAAAGGATCCATTTTAGAAATTAAGTTAATAGTCTAGAAATTAAGTGCATATTTTAGAAATTAAGTTAACGCTCTATTTCAGAAATTCAGTTAATGCTAAAAATGTCAATGAACACAGTCTGGCCCTCCCACGACCCCTACAGCAAATACCCTACTCGGTTAGGTGGAGAAAGGATCCATTTAATGATTCTTCTTGCAGTAAATCAAACGACGTGAACTTACTCTTGTCCTGGTGGCTCTAGTTCATCATTTGTGAGCCACCTGTGACTCACCGGCTTGTTGTGAGTTTCTAAAAATATTCCTGGGGGCCACCAAGGACCAAGTTCGTCCTCAGGGACTAGGACCTATTTCTCAGCCTCCACATTTTTCACAGCCCGGAAGGGCGGCTGCCACGCTCGCTTGTGGGACTTCATTCTCTGCAATCATTTTCTAGAGTGACCAGCACTATGGGGAAATCTCTGCTAACTGTGTTTTTCTTTAAAAAAAAAAACAGCCTACAACTGAGTTATTTGCAGTACTGTCATGCTAACATTCAGCTCAATAAGACCCAGGGGTTCTCAGGAGAGGACTCGGCTAACTGCCTCCTGCTGACCTCCCTGCATCAGGCCCGGGCTGCGACTGGGGGCCCAGCGGTGAAGACGGCAAATGAGCTGTGAAAGCGCTGGTTTTTTTTTAAAGGCTCTGATTCTGACTCGTCAAAAGGGGGGGGGGGTGGGGGGGAAAGAAGGCAATGAGTTATATAATAGATATATATTTTTCTTGAATTCCTCCCTTCAGACCCTCCATCATGGGGACTTAAGCATGACCTAGAATATTAATTACGCCGGGCTGAGCAGCGAGCTAACGTGCCATTTGTTACCCAGTCACCCTTAGCGTTACATTCATATTTTGAACTATTCCGTGTTTCTAACAATCTATCAGTCGGCTCTTTTCTTTCCGGATTTTATGCTGCTCCTTGAGTATTACATGGGAAAGTACTTAAAAAACACACACCAAAAAACGCAATTGATTTGAAAACGAATGGACATCCTTTTTGTATATGGAGCATCTACTGTGTTTTTTTTTTTATTTCACAGAGAATGTCTTTCTGATCAGTTTCGTTTCCAAGGCTGACCTTTATTTTGTAATTGCCTGGGGGAAGCTATGTCTAATTTCCCCCCTTCTTTTTATTATGGAGGCTTACTCTTAACACAAGTTTCTGTAAAATAAAAAAGAACCTGAAATAGGGCTGTGTGTGCCTCAAACTCCCAAAGCGCGTTTATGAGGGCTTCCATTTCATGTGTCGCCGTCTGAGAAAACCTAATTCCTCATGATTTCAAAGTCACTGCTATTCTGGGAGCATTCGGTTCTTACTTCTGCAGACGGCAGGAGCACAGCGAAGTGGAGTCACCGATGGCCACAAAAACGGAACCAAATTAGAAAGCATTTGCTAGCTCCACAATTCAGAATTTGTGAATACTGCGAGAGAGAAGCAGTTTAAAAGGAGGGCTATATTTTCCTTTCTTTCTATATATTTTAAAATATATTTTTATTGATTTCAGAGAGAAAGGGAGAGGGAGAGAGAGATAGAAACATCAGTGATGAGAGAGAATCATTGATCGGCTGCCTCCTGCACGCCCCACACTGGGGATCAAGTCCGTAACCTGGGCATGTGCCCTTGACCAGATTTGAACCCGGGACCCGTAACTATATTTGGGTCCTAAGTTTTCATTTAAAAAAAATGCGTTGAGCCTGGCTGGTGTGGCTCAGTGGTTGAGCTGTGACCTATGAACCAGGAGGTCTCGGTTCGCCTGGGTTGTAGGTTCAATCCCCAGTGTGGGGCATGCAGGTGGCAGCCGATCAGTAATTCTCTCTCATCATTGATGTTTCTATCTTGCCCCCTCTCCTTTCCTCTCTGTGAAATCAATTTAAAAAAATGTGTTG